TTATAGGTCATATCAAACTCTTACAGTACTTACCTCTTCGGTTTCCAATTTAGTAATAAGATCCTGCATGTCAAGCAAGTAATTACTWTGCTTTTCGGGTTCAGCATTCTGTACTTCTTCTATTGGAAGTAAACAAAGAAAAACATATTGAATATTGTAAGAACCGTTAAAAKCCAMAGCTAAATGAATGAYAAACAGCTAGCTTTCAGCTCTAGCGGTGTTTTCCAGGTGTATATAGAAAAGGTTTGCTCGATGYGAATCAAAACAATACTCGTGCMTTCCTCACTGATTGAAAACGCAAAACAAAGGCTRGAGCTCCCCCTCATGAAAYCCTGCGCACTMCYCTGCCAACCTAAGACTTGCCTATAAAGAGTACAGTCCAATCACAGACTAGTTTGTATCCCGTGAGACACGGGATCATGACGTAATTCTACAGGTAATCCACAAATTATAAAGTGCGCGCCACGATATTATCGATAAAATCATAAGTACCTTGTTCTGTCAAGAAATAGTTGGGCAGCCAATGACATGTGTGGTAAAAATGCTTATGTATTACATACCCAACAAAGTTTCTGCTCGYTGAAGAAGATGTTTTCTCATCTCTCCAGCTTTAGTTGTGATCAGTTCTCCAGTGCCTGCATTAATAGTTAATGTGTGATAGGTGAGGTCTAAACCTTGATTAGTGCATCCAAAAGTACATGATGAACAAACAAATTATTTCCAAGCAAAGAAATAACAGCAACAAATAAATGAATGTCTTCCAAAATCCTAAGTATAGCTGTGTGGTCACGCGCTGGCAAAGCAGCCCAACCTATCCTACTAACTAACAMGTTGTATTAACAGTATAACCTGACAGTAATTATAATTAAAACGATTTTCTATGAACTTATAGACCCAGGATGCTTTGCGATCATTTGCATTTGCTTTGAAAAGTGCCTCTTTGTTTAGCCATACAAGCTTTGCAGCTTGAGTTGCCTGTTATGATTTACGCGTATAACTCAATTTGTTTCTTGCTTCATTAAAAGCTCAACAACTTTGTAAAGGATTTCAATCAACCTCTCACTAGTCTGAAATAGCCATCAAAATAAATTCGACAACATTACGACAAGGCGCGYAAAGCATCCAGGGTGATATTTGCGCCTTTAAGTAAGTTCTGGAAAACAATAAAAAAGCACCAGTCACCTTTATCCTTAGGGGCTGTAGCAATAGCGTCTTTAATATTCTTGATCCACCTGTGTCAATATTTGAAATCATTAGAATCGTTTCGCTAAAATAGCCTCCTCCGCAGACAACACTTCATTTTGCCCTTTTGGGATCCCTTTGGCAGAGTAGTTCAGTCTCACTCACTCACACTGAGGAAAACAGGAAGTGCAGAGAGCAGCCTGTCGAGGAGGCTATCGTTAAGAATCATTATATGATGATGATACTTACATTTTCTTTTCGCTGGGTGTCCCACAAACCATTTCATACATTTCAGGCCCTTCTCTTGATGTACTTACTAAAAATATCGCTTTTGTGTCTGTAGCGACTTCCCGAACAAATAAGTTATTTAATCGAATCACAGGAGCCTAGGAAAACCAAGATATAAACTTATGAATGTACATTCTTTCACTATCAGTTCAGTATACTTATTTCCCAGAAAAAATAAGTATTCACCCCTTGCTATTTTCGCAAAGTGAGCTGAAACTCGATCATAGACAATTGATGGTTTTCAACCATTCCCAGGAGAGAAAGTTGAACAAAAGATGTCCGCCATTGCTGGTGGACCTGACAAAAGAAAACCACCACCGTGACTGGTGGACCTTTTTGTTTTGATCACTCTCATGGGAATGGYTGAAAACCATCAATAAAGAGACAAAAGACAAACATCAAAAGATTCTTGGTTTTCGCAATAGCGGCCATCTTGGACAAARRATTTCTCATTAGTGTCTATTGGTCATTCCTCCAACATGGCCGCCGGTCTTTTATCTTTTGAATCTCATGGGAATGTTCGATTAATAGCTTTACATAGCCTTACCTTTTGGTCTAAAGACAATAAGGAGTATTTCTGATCTTTTTCTTGTAAAAACACCAACATGTCGTCCAGTATCACAACAACACACTCTGCAAATAGTAAGACTGATGTAAGACGTCTGATGTGATGATTAACCACGATTATGGAGAAAACATGCGGGCGCAGTTCAAATTCAACTGAACCAATCACAATAATAGAGATATCTTACCAACAAACTTGCCGCGCGCTGTCTTCCATARCAACATGCCCTCGTGGAGAAGTGCACTTGAATTGGATGCAAAGTCTATATTCTATAAATAATAACAAATGATTTTTACAACTGAAAAATATTAGCCTTTTTCCACAACAACTGCGCGCTCGCCAAAATAGTTCGACTTATGGCAAGTCAATAATGTCATCACTTTGATGGGAATACCTTCACTTTTTTGCTTCCTTTGTATGTTATCGTTACTTTGAGATCCATTCTCATCTTGATGTTCCTCAAAGTCTTAATTAAAACAAATACATATAAATAAGTGTAAATA